GTGTGTGCATGTCTGTCTGTGTGTGCATGTCTGTCTGTCTGTCTGTGTGTGTGTGTGTGTGTGCATGTCTGTCTGTGTGTGCATGTCTGTCTGTCTGTCTGTGTGTGTGTGTGTGTGTGTGTGTGTGTGTGGAGTTTGCATGTCCTTCCTGTGTCATGCAGAGTTCCATCTGGGCACTTCAGTTTCCTCCCACAGTCCAAAGACATACAGTTAGGGTGACAGACGTCTCTAACTTATCCATAGTGTGTGAAGTGTGTGGGTATGTGTCCATCTGGGATGTACCGCTGACACAGGTAGATAGTTTGGATTTTTACTTTCTGGACCTGAACTATCCACCGCTGGCTTCTGGCTTGTGCCCTTTGCTGCTTTGGATGGGCTCCATGCTCCCTGTGACTGTGCAGGAGGTTGGACGGAAGTGAGGTGGTGCAGTGGTTTAATCCCCTGACCCAGCTCTGTGTGTGTGGCGTTTGCATGTTCCTCCAACATTTGTGTGGGTTTCCTCCTGTATTGTGAGAACATGCAGTGATCTGGACTGGGGTCTCTAAGATGCCCTTGGTGTGAGTGGCGAAGGCAGTGCGGTTAGCTGTACAGGCCAAATTACTCATCAGCTGAATCCACATAAAAGCAACCCTGCATTCTGTGTGAGTGTGTGGCCTGAGATGGACTGGCATCCTGTTCTTGGTGTCCTCTGCGCCCCGTGTTTCCTGAAATAGGCTCGAGGTTCACCACAACCATGCTCTGGAGAAGCGGTCATGGAAAATGGATAGATGGAAATAGATATCATGTCCGTTACCAGATCACATGCAGCGCCGCTTTCTGATAGAGAGACGGGTTGTGAGCAACAGGTTACAGGCCAACGAGTGACGCCTTGGAAACCCAATTGCTGCAGTGGCCATAGTAGCAGACCTGTGACATGCTATGGAAAAGCATGATGGGTAATCCAGAGAGAACGTGACTCACCGTCAGGGCCGGGTCCGTGCACGTTCCGGTCGCAACCGCACTTCTGCAAGTCGCCGCTGCTGCAGGCTCGCGTCACCTCGAACGCCACGCTCGCCGACGAAATGGCGTAGACGAAGGCGGCCTCCCTGGTGCCTGAAATACACACACACACACACACACACACACACACAGGGGAACTGATGCTGCGGACTACAAGCCTGCAATGATGCGCAAAACTTAATTTATATTTATTTTGATGACAGTGAGGACGATGATGATGATGATTAGAATCACTATTGTGATATTACTACTCCACTTTCATATAACATCTACTTGCACTATTCTTCATCACACATATCCGGTCATGCTAGTTGGTCGGCATGTTCCCATCTAGCTGAAGGGGGCGCTGTGGGCTCACCCTGAGTCACCACCCTCCCAAGGATGTGCTGCGTCTCCAACGTGGAGCAGTTCCAGCGTCGGTTCCGGAACTGGTGCTGGCACTCGTGGATGGCCAGGCGGGCCCCTCCGCGCACGGCCTCCATCACCTCCAGGTTGCGCTTGCAGATCTGCACCTGGCGCTGGGCCAGACCCCTGAGCCTCTCGCACGCCTCCTCCTCCGAGATGCTGCCCGAAGACGACAGCTTGGCCAGGTACCTGCCGAGGAGCCGAGCTATTAACGTCCCCCCCTCAGAATTAGGTCTTGCTGCCAGAACGCTGCCCGCTCCTTATAACATTATTATTATTATTATTTTTTAAATATTGTTTTCTTATTATTAGTTGCCATGAAGTCAATCTTGACTCCTGCTGACCACAGTGACATTATTCTCTAGAACGTCCTCTCTTCTGCGCAAGTTCTCATGCTTCCCAAAGGAATATTCTCTGTTGTAACACTGACTTTTTTTTAGCCAAATGCTACCCATTCATCCATAGTTACCCTTTAATAAGGCTTGACATCTTACTTCTGTGATTCAGCTTAAGTGCCCTACAGAAGACTACGGCTTATACTTAAATCAGCTTCCTACAGATTACCAGTCAATTACTGCTTGACCACCTCTTGGCTCATATCCATGAACCACATATAGCATATAGCAGTACACACATGCTGTACATATGGGCTTTCCAAACATGAAGTTCATGAATAAGCTTTTTAACAGAATGTATCATTACACAAGCATTACACAAGCACTGCAGTAATGATCACCTGCTCACAGCAAACTGTACCGCCACTAATAACCTCACAGCAGCGCTCAAAGAACCGGCTTCAAACAACGGATTCCCTGCGCCAAGATGAAGCATCGCTAAATACATTCGGAGCCTGTAATTTGTGGGTCTGCAGCAAATCCCCACTGCAGCTGTAACCGGTGGCCTGACATGCTCAACACAGGCCTTATATCTGCTGCACATCGTAGTACAGTTCACGGTGTGAGATACGGTCCACAGAAGTAGGGTTACCCAGAAAACATCTGTCCTTCCATCCATCCATCCATCCATCCATCTGTCTTTTTTCCAAAACCTGCCCGGGGCCTGGAGTTTTTCCACGGAAGCAGAGGGCACAAGGCAGGGGACACCGTGACCAGGATGACAGTCCATCACAGGGCAGGGCGCTCAAACGAAGGTCACCTCTCATACGTCTTAGAAAAAGTATTCATTTCCACATAAGAGTCTTATGGTCATTCTTATGGTCATTGTCATTTTAATATTTTCAGTTGAAGACGTTGACTTATGTTAAGGAAGTTGCTTTCTAGCCTTTCTCTAGCTTAAATGTATCAATAACTGGGGAATAAAGGAAAGCCTTAGTTGACCTCACTCATCCATCCATTTTACACACCGCTTGTCCTATGCAGGGTCACAGGGGTGCGGAGTCTATCCCGGAGTCTATCCCACAAGCTGTAGGCACGAGGCAGGGAACAGCACACCGTTCACGCTTACAGACAATTTGGTGACTCCAATTCACCTTAACATGCTTTTGTACTGTGTGAAGAGGAGGTGAACCTGAGATACTGGAGGAAACCCCATGACGACACAAGGAGAGCATGCAAACTGCACATGTGTAAATAAAGACTCAAACCCAGACTCGAGCAGCGAGAGGAAGCAGTGCAAACCACTGCACCACTGTGCCCCTAGATGACCTCATACAGAGATCCAGTCATATAGCGATAATCTTCCTCAGAACACTCTAAATAATGGTGATTTTGCGTGACAAAGACCTCAATGCAGAGCTTGTTTTTAGTGGCGCTCATGGCGCAGGTTCACTCTCTTCCACTAGATGGCAGTCTTTTCGTAATTTCAAACGTTCAAACTTCTGCTGAACTTTTAAAATGCATTACTAAAGTGTATTAAAATTCATGCAATACTTACTTATATTTAAAAAGTTTCTATATTAAAGATGCATCTTCCTATATGCCAAAGCTTTTAATTAAAAAAACAAGTAGTGTCTTACCCTGCCTTGTGCCCTGAGTTGCCCCAGATACCCTCTAAATGCCCCTACGACCCTAACCAGGATATGCAGTTAGAAGATGGATGGATGGATTATGTATGTTTGGTTAAACAACTGTTTGCATACACAGGCAGGCTAAACAATCACAGAGACTATGACTGACAGCAGATCTTAGTATGAAACTGACCTAATTGTACAGGGGATATGTTGGTGTTTCTTACAGAGGATGCATGCTATGTACAATGGGAAGGGTGTGTAAATATGTTGGTGTTTGCGTATGTGCTTTCGTGTTAATGTTTTTGCCCTTGTTCAAGCACAAAGTAAAACTGACCTAACTACAAGAATTATTTTACCCAGACTAAATGATACTATTTTTCCTACATTGATTGTGAGCAGTCCACCTCAATGGACACAGTGCAGCTGAGAGAGCTGCCCAGACTTTGCAAAAACATTTTCAGATAACCAGGTTCAATCGAGGCCTGCAAACAGTCTTAAATCCTTAAAAAAATAGATTTTTCAGTAGTCAGTCATTCCAGTAGAGAGCAATATCCCCTAAACTCACTCAGACTGATGACACACACTAACTGATAATCAGCAAACAGCAATTAAACACTATTTATGAAAGGTCAAATGTATCTTTCAAATGACTGGTATGTGGTCATAGGATTTATGAATTGGGCTAATTACAGACTGCTCATAAACACTTTCACTGTCTATTTTTCTGTCACATCAACATAATAGTTTTGTTTTCTTAAGGGACTACAGTATATAGTAGGTTGGAGAGAGACGTCTGGAAGGCTAATAGATAGCGATAATAATAACAGAATACTACAGAAAGTGCATTTTCAAACACTGAAGTCAGATTGCCTTCCTAATAACCACGGCAAGCCAAAAATATCTTTGGTTTTTAAACATTTATCTTTGAAAAGATCTGAACGAGGCCAGTGTTTTAAAAAGGCAGTGGATGGAGTACACACGCTGACCTAGAGGTCCCCCTTGCAGGGTGCCCTGAGTTGAGCGAGACAAGCTGGGACACCCCGGCCTCGTGACAGAGACGCGTCCCAGCTGGAGGAAGAGCCATGCGTGGTAAATGGGAAGCGAGGTGGAAAGGAGAGGGACCCGCCCCTACGGGGGGAGCTTGCCAAGTTCAGGTACAGTAAACGCAAGTTAAGACAAAAGCTAAAACAAACCACTGCAATGAAGCAATAAGGCGGGGCTTTATTCACCACCAAAGTCACAGTTAAAAGCTTTCGTGATTTTACTCACAAATGAAGCATGGAGTGCCTGATTGCTCAATAAATATTATATAACACCAACCAACCAGATATACTCCCCGTTCAACAGAAGCATTGCTCCTCTCTCCCTGATAGCTATTGTTAGCTGACATAACATGATCCTTAATTTTTTATTATATATTTCAACATTTATGTTAACTCTACTAAAAGCCTGTTTGGCCTTGCCTGATTGTTTCCATACATCTTTCAACTTAGAAATGGAATCATGTGGCTCCTTTTGTCCTCTGTCACAACTAGTGTCGCTCCAGAGTCAAACCATTTCCAGCTGAACAGAACCAGAGTCACTCTGGTTTACACCATGCTGTTTCATATGAAAATAAAGCAATGACACAGACATGTACTAAGTCTTATAGTCAAGCCCATTCGAATCCAAAACCTTTTTCCCTTTGGTTAAGAAGCACTGGAGAAACACACTTTTCCCTCTTAAAATAGTCCTGTCACCATCTCTGCAACCTCGTGTGGATTCTACCAGAGATATGAAAGCCATGCTGAGGGCTCCTGCTCTCGTTTCCTGCCCCAACCCCAGATCCAGTCCATTCCCGTCGATCTTGCCATTTACCTCTGCATCTGTGCATATTGGTCAAAGTAGACGCAACACGAATGTAACCTGGATACACCTTTTTGCATATATCCGAAGCCCAGTTTTGATTAGCATCAAGGTAAGGTAGCTAGTGATTGAGGTAGTTTGATTGGTTACCTAAACCCTGCAGTACACATCAGTTTTAAAGAGTCATACTTTAATTTGAAAGCATTACTGCATAATATAATGTATTATTTTGTGTACAGTAATATTATATATATTATAATGTATAAAGTAAATTGTACACAATGAGAAGTATATCTCATTGTTAACCATAAAGTGTGTTATCTCATTGATAATCATAAAGTATGTTATCTCATTGATAACCTTAAAGTATGTTATCTCATTGATAACCATAAAGTATGTTATCTCGTTGATAACCTTAAAGTATGTTATCTCGTTGATAACCTTAAAGTATGTTATCTCGTTGATAACCATAAAGTTTGTTATCTCATTCATACCCATAAAGTATGTTATCTCGTTGATAATCATAAAGTATGTTATCTCATTGATAATCATAAAGTATGTTATCTCATTGATAACCATAAAGTATGTTATCTCGTTGATAACCATACAGTATGTTATCTCATTGATAACCATAAAGTATGTTATCTCATTGATAACCATAAAGTATGTTGTTTAATTGATATCCACACTGCATGCTATTTCCGTGTTACTTGTATACTGGTTTTAATGAGAAAATTGTACTTAGAATGTAAAATGGATAACAGCAAATCTGGGGTTGAAATAGGCAGTAAACTCAACAATATTTCAGTGTTAGGAGTACAGAAGAGAGTGTAAGTGTAAGGAAGGCATATGTGTGTTCATAAATTTACAGGGTCAAGTGGGGGGGTTCTGTGTCATAGACCCATCTCATCCTGCATGTCGGAATGTTGAAAAATAATCATGTCAGAAGCTGGGTGCCTCTTTGTTTTTGTTTCTTACACAAAATGTTTGAAAAATAAAGAATACTTTGCAACCATAAACTGCTGAGCCATAAAACCTGGACATAAACTATATTGGTTCTGCTCGAGACCCCTTGTTATAAAAAAATAAACTTGGAATAATAAACATAAATTCCTGGGATACTAATATGATTTATCTGATCAATTAAAATTCCCTGTGCGACTATAAAGAATAAATGATTATTCCCTTATGCCTTTTCCCATAATGCTGTGTGGTCCAATGTCTCCTTTTATTATCCTCATGACATATTTAATGAGCCATAGTGGGAAATCACAGTAAGACTTTCTACTAAAATGTTAGCATTTTTAATCTTAAACGGAAACATCAAATTGGCTGTGAACATGGATGCACACGTGTAATGTCAGAATGAAAAGCA